TTCGGTTTTAACCTTGAACCTGATATTGGAGACCACACGTGCATAAATCCTACGAAAAAAGGAGTTCTAGGATTGTCCTTATCTTTTTCGGCTCAAACGACTGCCACTCTTTCCGTATTGGTCTATTTCAATAAGAACGCCCTCGTAGAAATTGACGCACGACGGAACGTTTATTGCCCATACAAACGTGCTTAAACATGAATAATATCAAGCTTCTAGATATCGTGCAGCACGATAGCTGTCTTCAGAGAATATTCCTCGGAGTGTTCTCACGAGACACGCTACCAACCGTGTCCAGTCCAAAATTTCCGCTCGCACTGATTGTGAACTCGGACAAGCACGCGGAACCCGGACAGCACTGGCTAGCTATATTTGCTAAGAACAGTAAAAATGTCGTTTTCTTTGATTCTTTTGGTAAGTCTTCTTTATTTTACGGCATGGAGTTTGACAAATTTATCTCGGAAAATTTTCCGGCTACCAATGGACATTATCAGGAGAATCGGATCCAACTCCAACATCCTCAGTCTAAACTTTGTGGTCTCTTCTCTGTATTTTTCTTTATTACTCTTGTCGCGGTCTTACGTTACGTGAAATTGTAAATAAGTTTGAATACCCCAAAAGACTGCAATTCAATGATAAAATGCTGTATGCTTTTGCTAAGAGGAAATTGCATGTGTGTAAAAACCCTCGAAAATGTTTGAAGCATATGCCGAAAAAGCAGCAATATTCTCTGCCTATGTATAAGGTTATCTATTAAAATGCGGAAAAGAACGTCGTTTGGTTCCGGAATTTATTTGACTCTTAAACACTTGAACACACACGACAGTTTGCATATCTCGGAAAAATTCGATTTTGGTAGGCAATACAATCAACAGAGTTGCTTTGTTAACATAGATGCACACCAAAATCGAAATTTTGATGATTTAGCCAAAATGTTTCCAGTTTTTCGAACCGTAACTGGGGTGGCTTTGCTTCTTCGTTTGCCACTGCTGTTTCGTTCTGGCGTATTAAAAGAAAAATCGGAAGGTTCAAAATCTAAATATGCTCTACGACGCTGCATATTCGGCAATAACGTAGCCGGCGCATTGCAGCTTTTCATTGCCTCGAATACTTCTTCTATTCCATTTGGAGGAGTTTGTGAAGGTCCTGGATTTGTAGGTGTAGTTAGCCAACGGATTAAATCCACAACGTTCGTACCGTTTTTCAAAATCCCGTTTACTGCAAGTTCCAGGTTTTTCCCAATTGAAAATGACCGTACTCTTGTAAGTGCGTTAGCAAATGGCGTGCGTTGTTCTGTTGCTTCTCTGGTAGTAGAAAAACCACTCTATCTGTGGACTTATCGCTACCATGCGTTGCAGCATCAGTTTCGTCGAAAGGATGCTGCGCTGGATGCTGCTGCATAGGCAGTGTAGCCTGTCCTATATAATTGTTGTACCGTTCCATAGCGTCGCTATGGGCATTTAAACGCTGTCTGCTAGTCATTGTCGGATTCTGCAGTGAGTTTGTCATATCTCGGTATGACTTGGTCAATGGACTCGCATAATAGTCCAGATGAGCATGTGTAGGCTGTACAGGCACGGGAGACAGGCTTCGGGATTTCCTGACAGCACGTAGCTGTTCTTCATTTAACAAAACATTCGTCGTGCCATTTTCAAGCGTTTCCCAAAACAAAATTAAGCACAGGAGGCAGGATTAAAGACAATAAAGCAAAGCCTTTTGCTAACAGAAAACTTCGTTTAGTTTTTCTGGACACAGACTTTTTAGACAATAACTTTAAATAGGGCAATAAACGTCGAACTCGTTGAGCTTTCGATGATTCAGAAACGGGAACCGTGCCTTCAACAATCTGGAGAGCACATTCAGAAATGGCATCAATCAAAGTGTCTTCCGAATTTTTAATAATCGCTTTCGCAAGTTTCGGCTTGCTCTTAGCTATTGATGACAATAAATCAATATTGGAAACGGTTTTACTTCGCTCCATTATGCCGGTAGATAAACTTCGGTATAGCCAGGAAAGTTCTCTCCGAAGATCGACGATTTCAGCCGATATCGATCGCTTATATTGTGTTGCAAATCAATTACAATATAACCAAAAGGCTTCTCAAAAGCGGCCGTGACGGCTTCCATGAAATAATTAAGTTTATTAGGAAAAAGTTGGCGTCCTAAGATTTGTAGTTGCTGTCGGTCCTGAGGATTTTTAAAACAAACAATGACTTTAGCGTTTAGCCGTATATCTCGACCAAAACTCTGCTTAAAAAACAGATTTTGTGTCAGATAGATGACCGTTGTATTGGAATGGCGTCCACCGTTGCAAAATAGTTGGGCAACGTGTTTGCTCGTTTTTTCTTCTAGGTGTAAGTCGTCAATCACACAAACATTAACTTGTTTTTTATCAAAAAAATTCGGCTTTGAAATTTCTTCTGGCAAACCTTCGATAAAAGTAATTGGAAATCCTTCCTTTACAAGTTGATCGTATAAGGACTGATACTGCTTATAAAACCAATAAACCCGTTCCGGAACTTGCGAGAGTTTATTAAATCGGAGAATATTTGCCACAAACGTGGTTTTACCAGAACCAGAATTCCCACTGATTAACATAGAAGTTGGGTGATAAAACACATCATTCAACTGCACTTCCATTATTACGTCCGAGTAGCAAACGACGTGATTCATTTAAAACAAACGAAATCAGAGGCATAATGATGTTGTGGATAGGAAATCGATCAGTAACTCTTAATACAATGACAGCACCTAAGCGGAAAAGTTGAGAAAACACAAACGGTATGGCGTAAAATAGAGCCCAAATGAGTATTCCCCGCGAGTTCTTTTCCTCTACGGGAATCGGTGGTGGCGTTTCAGGGTCCATGGTTTCTATGGATCAAAAAATTTCAAAATTAAAAATTTGATTTCAAACCGGAAATTTCAAACTGAATTTACACAACAAAAACTTGCCACTCGTGGTGGATCAGTTGGCATCGTCAAAAATGAGTAAGTCAGCTGGCTTTCCGTCAAACTCGTCGCCCCAAGACGGATATACCGGTGGTGTAAACCCTGCAATAGTGTCCCGTTTTTCTTCCCCCAGGTCGGCTGGTTGAGTGAACGGAACACGTCCCTGTTCCAGTTTCTTCAGCTTTTCGAACTTGTCCACGCGTTGGTAGAAATAATCAAATTTTGGTGCGGGAGGTCCGATGTCATCATCGGCGTCACATACACCAGTGCATGTTTCATTCCAAGCTTTAACACCGCTCCCGTCGGGACATTCAAAAGTAATAACCTGTTGGATGCGGTAGCCGGCACTCGGGCAGGCTTTGCGCCATTTTTTCACTTGGTACTTTAGATAATTTCGCATACGACCGTGTGCCAAATCGCGAACAATAGGGCGCCATTCTTTCCAATTTTCTTCGGTACATTTTGTTGGATTCTCTCGGAAGGCGATATTAGTGCCTTTTTCCTCTTTTGGATATAGTGCAAATGCTACTTCTCCAAGCGGTTGTTGATGGAACCAGGTTTCCTTCACAAACTGCACTCTAACACCGATTGTGAGATCGGGATAGTACTTCTGGGCGTCTTCGAAACGTGCCACCAAATCACGATAGACACCCTGTAGCATAAGAACGTCGTCCTGTTGAACAGTACTGTAGTATACGACTCCGTTCTTCATCATGCGTTCCCCAGTTCCGACGGGAAACAGAGCGTTAGCGGCGTTTTCTAAAGACATTTTTAAACTCGCGTGAAAATAACGGCAAAAGTGTCCGCAGTGGCACGGTAAATCGGCAAAAGTACTGTATGTGTACGTATATGTGAGGAGGTAAGTGAACGTGTGTCCGAGTCCAATGTGTGTGTGCGTGTGTGTTTTGTCTGAATGTGCATTCAAAGTTACTTTACTGCTGACTGAATGTTTTGTTGCAGATGGAACGCCTACTGCAAGTATTGCTCTTGCTGTCAGTAGTCAGTAGCGCGCACGGTGTATGGTCGCGCTGTCTGAATCACTGTCAGTGCGAGCGCATCGAAGGCGTGATGAACTGTGGGGGGCGGGATTTGACTACAGTGCCTACCCCGCGCAGCCCGGAACAGTGGGTGCAGGTTATCCTGTTTCAGAGCAACCGTCTGTACGGTGTTCCGTATGCTGCACTCAGCCGGTATTTTCCGCGACTCCGCCTTTTCGACGCACGTGGCAATCCGGTTCTAGAGTGTACGGAACCGTCGACCGTTAACTTTACGGTCTTGTCAGACTGCGGCCGTGTTCCCTTCACAGCCACGCCAAAGGTTCCGCTGAACACCACGGACATGGGCACGGGTTTATCGCCCACCGGGACAGCGTCGAGCCCAGCGGATAAGCCTCCAATGCTACTGACAACGCCAGCACCCGAGGATCATGACTCCGCAGTCAACGCCCCCAACGTGGTCTACGCCATTATCGGTGTAATCGTTGCAGCGGCGGCAATTTCAAGTGCCGTAATGTTCTTTCGACGCCGGTGCGCCGTGGCTCCTGTAGCCCACGCTATCAGTACCGAGAGTACCGAAATGTCGGTGGTTAATGAGCATACCGACCTGTAATTACTGTACATATGCTTTTTGTACAAATTAATTCTGATTTTGTACATACTTGTTTCTGTACAGATTCTGTAGTTTGAATCTTTGATGTCTGCTCTTCCATTTTTGATACTGTGATCTTCTGTTTTTGTGATATGTTACGTTCTGCGGTGTAAAAAAACTAATTACTGTACAGATTTTTACGAAATAATAAAAATTCGATTTTGGTTGGCATCACGTTCTGGTATTGTGTTCGTAGATCAAGTTGCATACTAAAATCGAAATTTTACATTATTCATATGTACTGTACTTATACATAGGTTGTAATGTAGGATGCAGTATTCGGTGCATTTTACTGCGATAGCGACGTATTCTGAGGTGTAAAGACATTGTTACTGTACGGATTTTTACGAAATAATAAAAATTCGATTTTGGTTGGCATCACGTTCTGGTCTTCTGCTCGTAGCTCAAGTTGCATACTAAAATCGAAATTTTACGTTATTCATATGTACTGTATTTATACATAGAAATTATAATCTAGGATACTTCAGAGCAGTATTCGACGCATTTTCTTTGTTATTGACGCATTAATCTCTGTTTTGTTGAAGATGGATGATTCCATGGAGACCCCGGAGCAGCTTCCCGTCTCAACCGGGCTGCCTCGTACCACACCCCCATCGTCTCCGGAACGTGTGCGTTATCGTAAGAGTGGTAAACCGTTGACGTCTGATATCGGAGAGAGTGACTCGTCTTCCGATGAAGAGAGCGTAAGCATTCGACCACCGACCCCAGTCCGACAGCTGCCTCCCGAGCAGCATGTGCGCACGCCTTCACCTCCGCTGCCGTTTGATCCAGTGCATCGCGTTGAGTTTTCAGCGGGTGATGGTGTTCCTAAAATTGGTTTTAATGCTGCTGAATTTTCACACGAGTATGTGCTATAAAGTTAACAGTATCTGGTGCAAATATTGATAACTACCTTAATTTTTATCTTTTAGTACCCAGATGGCTGCAATCAGACTGATGGGTGCGTGCATTTACGTTGGGCCAGAGGCAGAAGAACTGCACCTTGATCACCAGTCAGACGTGGCAGATAGCCGCGCCGAGCGGGAGGCGCACGATGATGAGTACGAGTTGGACGCCTTCACGGATCATCCAGTTGAACCAAGCGCAGACCCGGACCGTGTTCCGCAGATCGGTGCTAGTGCCGACCCACGCGACCGCTCCACTCGCCGCCCGGATCCATCGCGCATTGTGACGAAACGGCTCGGTCGTGCTGCATTACGTGACAAGTATCGCCAAATGAACCCTGTAGAAGTTTTTCTGCCGCGGCTAGCATTCCAACGCGTTGTGCGTGTGCTCACCTGGACGAGGAATCCAGAAATGCGCATGCAAGTTGGAGCACTTGGTCTACTACAGGAAGTGGCCGAGCGCTTCGTAATCGAGTGCTTGACGAAAGGAGCAGCGTGTGCCGCACATGCCAAGCGGAAAACTTTGCGGCGTGAAGACACGGCTCTGGCACAGTATGCGCGGGGTGAAAACTGGCTGAATATTAAGGAATTTAACCCCCATGGCACGTTGGACCAGTTCCTAGAGTACCTGGAGGAACTACGGTTGGGACGTATTCCCGTGTCAGGTCCCAGTCCCGAGCGTTCTGCGTTGTCGGCTGCACTGCCCGTAGTGGTTCAACGTGCAGGAAAGCGTCCCATGGTGATGGAATCGTCTTCGGACGATGAGAGTGACACCCACGTGCAGGCACCACCGGCCCCGACTCAACGTAAGTACTGTTTTGTATTAAGTACTAATGTTATTTTTGAAGTTACTGTTATAGATAAACGTGGCGCCGGCTCCATCCGCGGGACCGCTATTCTTGGCAAGCGTGTTGCCGTACCTGTACGAGTGCTTCCACCGGCACCAGCGACTGCTGAACCTGAAGAAGCATCGGGACCAACCGGTAAGAAACGTATTTTACAATAATTATGTACATCTCTACATGTCCTTATGTTTAGCGGCAAATGCTCGCGGCTCCGTTGCTGCCAAAAGCAACTGGTTAAGCGCGCGTGAATTGTCGGGCATGAAGGTGCAGAGCACTCGGTCTCCCTTTACGAACATGGGAACTGCTGTATGCTCACGTGGAGGACGGCGTGGTCGAGCACCACGTGGAATGCGTGGATCCCACAGTACACGACCAGCTCCACCAGCCCGTGCGCAGTCACCGAGTCCATCCCCAGCACGCTCTGTTCAACCAGGTACTGCTGTATGCTCACGTGGAGGACGGCGTGGTCGAGCACCACGTGGAATGCGTGGATCCCACAGTACACGACCAGCTTCACCAGCCTGTGCGCAGTCACCGAGTCCATCCCCAGCACGCTCTGTTCAACCAGGTACTGTATTTTCAATTCTTGTAATGGTGTGTGCTCGTACATAACGTTAAATTTTGGACTTTGTTTAGTTCGTCGTCGTGGCACGGGTGGCGCCAAGCGCATTTGCTTGGGACGTCCTAATGGAGTGAATCCGAGCCTGCCGGCTTCCGCACTTGCCCAAACAGCTCCTGGTACATACTACACAACTACAGTACTTAGCAAACATTTATCTGTATAACTGTGATTTTATGTATTTTAGCGCCACGAAGTGCAACCCCATGGCTGGATGCGCTGGGAGGACACAGTTCTGATATGGCATTTATGCGGGAGCGTGGACGTGATGTCGCTGTCGGTCCTGTTCAGCAGCCAGCGCCTCAACTGTTGGGTGGCTTTGTCGCACCGAATGGATGCGTTGTGCAGCGTCCGATTGTGGATATGCACCCGAACAAGAACCGTGGTGGCAGACGCAAGCTGTAGTGCAATGTACTTTAAAGAAATATTGTTCACACTTGTATTTATTATGTGTACATAATACTCGTATATTTGCAGGTACATACGTGGGTCGGAGCGTGGATATGCGGATTCATCATTGCTATTTGTTAATGCATCGGTTGTGGTCATGTCATGTGTTTTTGTTGTGCGCGTGGTGACAGGGATGATTTGTTGTTTTTAGTTATGCGAGCGGTACCGGGGTTAAATGTTGTATGCGTGGCACGGGGATGTTACTCTGGGATAAAATTGTTGCATGTAGCGAACATTGTTATTGCATATGATCCATTGCGGAAGTGGTACGGGGTTCATCTTTCATGTTTTTGGTGACAAGGATAAAAGAGTGCAAATTTTTCATTAAAATTACTGTACTCGCCGCATTTTTTCATTTATACTCGTATTTTTTAACTCGTTAATTAGAAAAATGAAAATTAACTATTGTTTCCACTAATGAATTACGTAACTTAATGAAATTAATGTAAATTACTGTACTCTATTGTTTAATTTAGTTAAAAGTAATTATAAAGTTAATTATAGGCAGGTGGTACTGTATATACAGGCAGGTGGTACTGTACGGACCCCTGGGGTGTTCCTGGCAGTGGATGTCTGTGTATTCTACTAGGAATAGTGTTAATCTAGCCACCGACAAGAATGTCCGAATGCCGGCATATAACAGACACGTACCGGAGACGCCTATCGATTCTACTATGAATTACCTGCGGTGTTATAACTTGTAGATGGGCCGCAACGACATGCAAACGTGACAACACAAAGCCGTCAGCCGCTAACCGGCGCCTAATACTGGGCGATGTCTTGTTCCTTATCCGCTTTCCGCTCTTTTCCAGCGCCCAGCTCGCTGCTGGTCCTATTAAGGTTGGAAACTGGTCCTTAACCTAGCATTTCTTTGTGCACCGGAATGACTTAAGAAATGTTTTCGCGGCAGAACGGTCTTCTGAACGAAACTGAGCTGTTGAGCGAGTTGATGTTCCACAATGGTGGAGCGCCATCGCAGCTGGTCTTTTCCACGGAGCGTCGCCACGATGCTGTGAGGCGCAGCGGGTTGCAGATAGGAGAGGAAGTGTTCGTGCAAAGCCCGGCCGGCTACTGGTTCCATCCAGCCAAAATCACCGGTAATCGCGCTTCGCATCTGGTCTTTACTTGGAGCTACAGTGGAGCCGAAGGGACTGCAGCGCCCAGTAAAATTCTGCGGGCTGCGGAGATCCTGAAGAACGGCCAGCCCGTGCATGCGCTGGTGGAGAAAGGCTACTACCGCTATGCGGTGTACGTGATGGTCATGCTGGACGGCAGGCACTGCGTCCATTGCAATAAGTCCGACGTGATTGTGCGTTTTGAAGAACTGATGATACAGACCGCGGCCAGCCATGTGCTGAAAAGGAGACAGGTGACAGCGGCAGCGGCAAACGAATGATGGCGGATATGGGAATGCTGATGTCTAGTGTTGGATACCTGTTGCCTTACCGGATGAATCGTCCCTATTATTGTAGCTTATTTTTGTAGCTTTTCGATAAATGATAATTATGTTGCCATGCACATAATTCTGGCGACAATGAAAAATGGCTTAAAATTTATAAAATTGACCAGAACGGAGTCGCAGTGTTAATTAACATCGAACCGGTGCCGGAGTGATAATTATGGCTCTACCACGCTGTGAAATGTAGAATGGGCCTTAGAAAATTCCGTGAATTGGTGACAAACCACTTTTGCGAAAGCGAAACACTTAGTACAGTAGACCGGAAGCTGATCGAATACTGTACATATGCCACAAAAATAGGATAATACGTTTTCAAGTGTGCCTATGCGTTAATTTTTTCCCCAACTGGAGCTGTTGAAATCACCGCTTCCTCATAGTGCTAGGTAGCTTCCGGTCAGGTGTGGTCCGCTGCGCGACTCCGCCCTCTCCTTCGACCAGCGCTGAGCGCACGCCCATACGCCGTTTGCCGTATCTTGATGGTGGTTGCAGGCATGGATCAGGTTGCTTTATCGAAGGCACGGCAATGCTGCACAGGAACAGGGAGAAAATCGTGACACTGAAAAAGGGTAAGCCACATTATCTAATGTTCTTATCTTAACGCAGCTAAGACAGAAGCGAGCGCTACTTCAGCTAAAAATAGCCTGTCTCAGTAGTGACATAATGGAGGATAATAAATCATTATGGTGTCTTCCATTTTTGCATGCTACGTTAGCTGTCTTGGAAACAACGATGAAGAAACGAGTAGATGCATAATATAAAACTGCTGAATTTTAGATATGGCCATCCGCATATCACTTGAATTTCATGGCATATTATCTTCATAAAAATAGTAAAGAGCGGCAGTATTCTAGTGATCATGTCCGCAAATTCTTCAACATCCACAAGGGAACGATCCGCACTGCTGCTGGCCAGCAGCATAAAGCGCTCCCTGGGCAGTGGCGAGCTCAGCGACGTGCAGTTTACCATCGGATTACAGTTCGGGCAACCGAAATATTTCCGTGCGCATAAGTAAGTACTGCTGGCAGTTTGTGGTGAAATCAATCGCTAAGGTGTGTTCCGTAACTTCCGTTCTGCAGGTACAGTATGTTCTGTGTCTGCGCAGCTCCGTGTTTTGCGCCATGTTCTACGGGAAGTTAGCAGAACGATCAGATCACGATATCGATATTCCGGATATCATCCCCGATGCGTTTGACAATATGCTGAGGTAAAAGCGGCTGTGTTGATGGCGCTGTGCGTCACTAAATTTGTGCAGGTTCACTGGGTTGATTGCAGTTTCCTCTACACTGACAATGTGGACAATTTGGACATGGACAACGTCATCCAGACTTTAATGTGCGCGGACAAGTACGATCTCCCGTTGTTGGTGGATATATGCTGCGATTTTATCCGCGCCCAGCTCTGCGTCGACAACTGCCTGGCCCTCTTGAACAATGTTCGTTAAAGTGACAGCATCTGCGATCCTCGTAATTTTTATCAAAACATCGGCTGTTGTAGGCAGTTGGTCTCCGTGCCGACGTGATTGTCGAACCTTGCTTGGATTTCATCGACCGGAACGCTGACGCTGTCCTTCTGTCCGAACGTTTTGCGGCCGTTGATCAAAAGACGGTCGTGATGATTTTGCGGCGGGACACGCTGTCCGCTGCAGAAAATAATGTCTACTTGGCTGTTGAGAAGTACTGCACATTTTGAACTTGCAGATCATGGCAACTTAACAGTCTTGTTACAGATGGGCGCTGGAAGCCTGCAAGACCAACAACATAGACCCGTCTGGCGCAAATCGACGTCAGATGCTGCGTTCACGTTCGGTTTCCGCTGCTCAGCAACACGCAATTGGCTGATGGGCCCATCAAGGTCAGCTAAAACAATATCTTATTCAAGTGCAGTTTTCGTTAAGCATGTATGTGGCCTTCATATGTGGCGATTAATTGCATAGTGGTTTACTGCTGCAATCCGAGGCGCAAGACCTTTTTCAGTACCGATTCGCCACGGTGAAGCCTTCGCTGCCATTTTCCACGCAACCGCGTCAAGAATTCGTTGCGCATATCGAAGAGGTCGTTTTCAGAAATAACGAGCGAGTTTTTGCCAGGGATAGCGCGCTCGCGATGATATGGTTCCCAGCGGAAATCATCGGGCGTCAGCCGACGGAGTTGCAGTACCAGTGGCGCAGTTTTGCTCGCAATGGCACTGGCACGGTAGCAGAGGCAGCAGCAGGGGCAACGATTTTACGTATGTCCGATATCTTGAAGCCTGGCCAAGTGTTGTTGGCGCTGACTGAATGTCTGATGTACGCTACGTACCGCCGGGCAGACGGAAACCTGCATGTTGTAGAGCACAAAGGTCGCGAGTACACGATCAGCTTCGACTGTCTGCTGCTGGAACACGATGAGATACCACAAGATATCCCCTCAGTTTCCCGTTTTCTCGTTAAACCTTTTTAATTATTGTCACCCTTTTCTGTACTGTACATGTAATGCTAGTTTAAGTTTAGCAACGTATCGTTACCGAATTATGCCCAGATCCTTTTAGATGAACGTACAAACTTTTTCATTGCAGACGGCTCATTTCATTTATCGGTTTATTTCCACCGTTCATTTCGATAAGTGTTAACACTTTAGTTTATGATTCCTTGATATTACTGTTGCGATGTAGCTTTATGGGTCATGTCGGGCCTCGCAATGATTTTCAGATGCCACCAACTGGAAATCTTGGAAGAAGCCGACAGAGCGGTCGATCGGATCGAGCGCGATATATAAAACCGAGTTACGAACAGCGACTAAGATAAAAGTGTACAGTAGAAAAACACTACATGTACACTCTTACAGGCAAATTTTTGGTTTAAAATGGTAACTAACACACGGCATGCACGCTCTTTTAAAATTTATGCTTCAGTATCGCGTAAAACGATTTTTCGCGGCAATGCGTCAACCGTGTTGGTTTATTGTACGGCAGGCAGGTAACCCATTAAAAGGCAAGGATCGAGATCTAGCCTGGGAATTTAAACCTGGCTAAATAACAGGAATCATAATGAAATTAAAGCAAAAGCCACAAAACAAGAGAAGTACTAAGAAAAGAAAGGCGTCAATTAATAGTAACATGCTTCAGTGCATTACGAAAAACAGCAAGCGAACTGCTATTAAGAATGTCGCTTCCGGCCTCGGTTAGCTGGCTCATAACGTTGTTCAGCCTCCACGCCAACGTGGACTTCCCCGTCCTTGTCCTTCACTGTCCTTCGATGAAGGTCCTGTTCCCGCTTCGAAGGCTGTACGGTTTGGAATCGTGTTTTACGACGATCATTTCGGTGAGGTAACGGGGCACTTGGAACTTCTCCGGGTGCAGAATTTTATAAAGCCAAGTTGCTTCCTGGTGTTTCCATCGCTTAAACAGTGGCGTTATCTCGTATTGCTTCATCAGGTCGGTGGTGGACACTTCGGCATAGTTGGCAATAGCTCGAATGGCTTTTCTTTTCTCGAATGGTCAAATGCATGTCCGAATGCGGGAAGGACAGTAGTATCTGGTTTTTTTGATTTTGTTTTTTTTTAATAGTAACGTGATGCAACAATCAGCAACAATATTCTACCTGCCGCTTCAGTTGTTGCAGATAAGAATAATGAAAAGAATAAGAAATGGAAACGTTTGGCTAAGAATAAAACTGTTAACAGTTATCTAGCTGCATGCATGAGCTGGTTAAAAGCAACAGGTTGCAGAAGTCTTGCCGCCTCCTGAATGACAGTAAGACAAGTACGTAACTTCCGGCCAGTACTACAGGTAACGAACATTTTCATGCGCTACTCCGCAGCTTTATCGCCGCACATGGCAGCCACCATTGGGAGCTTGTAGAATTACAGATCGTGCAACTCAGCACCTGCCAGCTGGATAAGATTTCCCGAGTTTTGCATGTCAGAGATGACACAGAGGCAGATGGAAAATGGGGCAAATATCGCCTTTATTGGTACAATAAAGCAACAACAACAACACAAAAACCAACAGAAAACCCAATGCGGGAAAAGCTGGAAAAAGTGCCTGCAGTGCGCTGGTGAGGAATCGTGATTAATGATTCCGCGTGCTGCGGGTATGCAACAGCTGATGCGGCAAAGCATGGAATCGCCCGTAGGCGCAGGGCTCCACCCCCAAGAGTGCAGAGAAATGCGCTGATTGGTCAGCGTGGACAAAGTATACGCTGAGTAAGCAGCGTAATAGCGCGGCACGAATGGAGTAGCCATGTGCGGGCGGGCGACAGAGCAAAGCCACAAGAGGTGTCTACCGCCTCGAGTGAGCGGTCTCTGACATGCCTCTGGGCGGGAGTGGGAGCTCCTGCGAGCACCTTCCGACTCTGCCCCTGGCCAACCCGGTAGGGTGCCAGGATCCGATACCCGGTAGGGCCGGATGCCACTTGGTCTCTAAACCCGGTAGGGTCGCTTCCTCCAGACCCGCGGTGCAGTGCACCGAACGGCCGAAATCTGGAGTGCACTCTGGTTGCTGGGGGTTCCAGTGTGGTTGAAGGCTTGGTTGGTCGAACAAGTAAAAAAAAATAAAGGTTATAAGGCTCGTAGGTTAAACATCGAAATAAAAAGATCACAATTCCGGTGAGAATTAAAGAAAGTAAGATCATAGTTAGAGATCCCAAAGCCAATTCCTTTGGTTAAATGGCTAAATAAAAACATTAATTCTTTGGTTAATAAAGTCTAGAAAAACCAGGTTTGGTTAAAAAACTAGACGTAAAATGGCTTATTCCGACTAGGTTTACCACAGGGCCAATCTTGTCCACACGGGTCCTAGTCAACGGTCCGCTTAATCCGTTAGGATTGGTCTGGTCCTGTAGATCCGGGGCGACGGTTCCCAGGGATGTCCACAGGGGTCCAGTGGAGTAAATCCAGCGGTGCGGTATAAGGAAGGCACGGTTGCATGCGCAAGGACAGGTTGTCCCCTTCCTGGTTTAAGTATGGTGGACCAAGCCCGGTTGGGCTGTCCATATAGGGCCAGAGTAATGCCTCTGGACAGGAGAGGTGTTCCTGTGACCAAAATAGTATGCTTGGACCCATTCCGTTAGGATGGCCATGCTTTGGTCTGACATGCCTCTGTTGGACCTGACCCGTTAGGGTTGTCCCAGGTGTGGCGGGATTGGGAGTCCTGTCGGATTCCTTCCCGTGGCCAAAGTTGGTGCTTTGGACCAGTCCCGTTAAGGTGGTCCCTTTTGGTCGGGTTTGGCCCTTCATGCTGGTTTGGTCGTGCACCTCGGGCCAAAAATCTTCTAAGTCCAGGAGGGCCATAATGGAAAAATTTTCTAAGTCCCAGGACCGAGGTGGTGTGATGGACCAAACCCGTTGGGGCGGTCCAAACTCGGTCTCTGACATGCTCTGGGCCGGGATACGAGGTTCTATTGTGATATGGCTCACCTCCGGCTGGTGTGGGACGTTTGGGTCCTGTATAACAGGTTTTGGCTCTCCGGTGTGGACTTAGTCGTTTTTTGATGAGCCACGTCGTTGGACGGGCCAAAAGACTTAGTCGATTTTTGGTGGGCCACGTCGTTGGACGGGCCAAAAGACTTAGTCTTTTTCGACGGTCCAAAATTGATGGCGGGCCAAATGGACTTAGTCGCTTTTTCGACGGTCCAAAGTGTATGGCGAGCCAAAAGGACTTGGTCGTTTTTTCGACGGTCCAAGGTGTATGGCGGGCCAAAGGTCCGTTCACTGGCCGGGCCATGATGAGTTAGCTACCATGTCCGATGAGTCAGGTAGGTTTCCCTGAGACCGTGGCCATAACAAAATTAAGTGGCGTCTGACGAAAACATCAGGTTAGCCGGGCCAAACTCCAAAAAATTAAGTTGTGGGCGCCGGTAGGCGTTTTCCACAAAGGAGTCGGTCTGCTGACTAGAAGCATCCTCTTTTGGCCTGCGGCGGTGCATCTTTTAGATGGGCCTCTGGGCGGTCCGTGGTGAGGATGGACATGGCATGCAAAATGGGTATACCACAACTTCTAGGCTCCTGAACTCACTTGTCCCAGTTGCCTGGTATGACAACTAGACTCGTGAGCCATCTATGGTCGGTTAGACGCATAGTGGGCCTGGTCCAACTTCTATGGGCCAGGACTTGGCCTTGGCTTGTCGCAACTTGTATGCGGGCCAGGCTGATCCACGGCTTGTCGCAACTTCTATGCGGGTCCGTCGCCACATTCTGGGCGCTGGATCCTTTCCATGCCGGTGAACTTAGGCGTTGTGCCAAGTTCGGTCCGGTGGACTCCGTCGGATGGTCTGGGATGGCCGAGCCAAATTCATGGTCCCAGCCGCTAAGCCAGAGCCTATCCGGGGAATCCGGTTAAGATCCAGGGATTTAGGTCCGGTGAGGTAGACGGTACATGGCCGTAAGCCACGTTTGTCGGGCGAGGGTAACAACCGTTAGATTGCACCCATCATGGTATTCAAGTCCGATCCAGCTAATGTTGGTCCCTGTTTAGGGCCAACATGCAGGAATGGCCGTTGGCCTATCCCTGCCCTCCTTGTCCCGCTTGGTCGCCATCGCCCAACCCGGGGTTGAGTGGGTCGATGACGCTTTCTCCATGTCCGCCAACTCCTGTTCGGTCTGGTTTGCTTGTTGTTGGCTGGTGCTGGTCGGCTGAGCTTCTTGGCCAGGTTGTGTGGCCTGGGTTTGACGTGCGGACGATCCTGTTGAGGATCGTTGGGTACGGAACTTCGT